GAAGTTGTAGCAGTAACGCTGGCACCCCCTTCTCTCCCTCCGCCCCCTCCCTCTCCCTATTTATCTTCTGGGCAAGGCGACGCAGGGCAGCTGGGGGGTAAAGGAGGGGAAGAGCAAAGGGAGAGCTCGGAAAGCTTCTTTAGGTAAGTCCACCAACAGACAACGCTCGCCCCTCAAACTCTCTCGCTACCTCTCTCTCTTGCTCAAGTTAGAAACCAACCGCGGACCTTCTCCCTTGCGCCCGTGCCTTGTGTGGCGGGCACGGGCAGGGCGGGGCGAGACAGGGCTGGGCGTGGGGTAGGTTCACCTGCGGTGTGATTTTCTCAGTCCCAGACATGGTTGTTAGGGGCCCAACTCAACACAACAACTGAACACACACAGAGGCGGGCCGCGAGCGCCGTAAGCTTCCTCCTCCTCCTCCTCCTCCTCCGCCCCCTACCCAACCCTGCCCCGCCTCGTCCTGATTCTACTTTTGCCGCTGTTTCTTCCCGCCAGAGGCACCTCTAGTTTGGGAGTGCTGCTCCTGAAATGTTCGCCTCCCGCAATCCCCCTTAATTCTCCCTTGCTCTCCCTCTCTCTCTCTCTTTTCTACCCAGACCGTCTCGATAGCTCGTGGTCTCTCTCGCTGGCCCACGCACGGCTGGGCTGAGTGGCAGAACCAGCAGAAAACGCCTGCGGACTAGAGGGTAGGCAACCCAACGCACTTCAACCTGCCTCGCCCTCCCCTCGCTGACATACACTCTAAATGGGAAGAGAGAATTTTGTTTCAAGAGTAGATGTATTCTCAAGCACACGCCAATCGGATGCATATTTGAACCTAAGCTACTCGCTAACAAAAAATCATCTCATGAACTTGTACCCTTAGGCTACGTGCACATTGTAACTTTTAACACATTTGCATCTAAATTGAGATATACCGAAGAAAACATCTTTACTAGAAAATTTCTTTCCGCGTAATATTTATTTACAACAACGCGCTGATCCACGAAAAACTTTTGATTCCTTTTTCTTAATCCTGTGCAACCAGCAAATTCAATAGAATATCGTATCGATACAAGAGAAACAGTGCGCGAATAAAAATGCTACCTCTTTTCTGGCAGTGCCCTGCACAGTGCACGGCAAGCCCCCAGCCAATCAGTCCGCGGGGGGCGCGGGTGCGGTGCGGTGGGACCGGCGGCCAGGGCCGAGGCGGCGCACGTATACTGCACACGTCCTCACGCATGCCGCCCCGCCCCTTCCCTCCCCGCCCCGCCCCGCCCCGTGGCGCCGCCGCGGCCCTCCCGGGGGCACTGAAGGGCTGTGGCGGCGCTGTGCGGGCCCTGGCCCCGGCGCGCCCCCAGCGGACTGTGCCGCGTCAGCCCGGGAGGAGGTAAAGCAGGGCGGAGGGCTGGAGGGTGTGTGTCTGCACCGCTGTCAGCTCGCCCTCCCTCTCCCTTCTCCTCTTCGTGTGACTAAGCCCCTACTTGCACCAATAACCAAACGAGCATCGTGCCGTCCGAGACAAAAAAAAAAAAAAAGTCAAAAAAAGACAAAACCTTGATTGTGTTTCTATCTGTTTTTTCCAACCCCTTTTTCTGGCGTTTCTCTAAGCTGCACTTACTTGACCCGGTCCCGAGCCTAGGCCCTAACACGGTTCCGCCTACGCTGCGCGCCGCCGCGAGCTCTGCAATGACGTGAGCCTGAGCTGTGCTGCTCGGGGGCGAATGAAGTACCGATAAAAACAGAGGAGGGCTATCACTCGGCACGGCTGAGCTGGCACGGCATGGCATGCCCCCTCCTCCCCTGCTGCTCCGAGCCGGAGGTGCCGCGGAGGTGCTGGAGGCCCTGGAGGTGGAATGGAGCAGGGTTTTTATGGCGCGGTGCGCGTTGCCGCTCGCGGACCTAACAAGGTCTGAGACACGCTGCGCTGCAGGTCTCCCGCTCCACCACCCACCCGCGGTGCTGGAGGAAGAGGGCGTTGGGGCGGAGGGTGGAGCAGGCAACACTGTCTATAGGTAGGGGCCGGGGCGGTGGACCTCACGGCGGTTAGCGCGCCCCCGGGGCCGCTGGACTAAGGGACGGCCCGATCAGAGACACGGGGCAGGGGGGCGGGCGGGGAGGAGGAGGGTGCCTCCTCCCGCCCCCGCCCTCCAGCCCTCCCGCCTCGCCCTCCCGCTCGGCCATGTTTTATGCAAGGGGCCCCAAGGGCCCTCCACTCCGCCAGTATGCACCCTCAGGCAGGACCTGTGCAAGGGCTGTTGAGGAGGGGATGGAGGGCCGGACAGGCGAGGGCCAGGAGGACCGGGCGGGGCCGCCCTCCTCACCGTGTCACCGGCTTTCCGAAGTCCCTTCGCTACAGCCCCATGGCCGTTCAATCATTTACGGGCCGAGTGCTTGGTCCGTCGGCCACACCCCGCCACGCCCCCTCCTCAGAGCAAGCAAGCCGTCTGGGAGTAAGGGACCACTTTTGCGCCGTGGGTGGGCGGCGGGTACGAGGCACGCAGTTCGTTAGGGGCTGCTGCGGCGCCACTCCACGCCACTTCACGCCAGGCCACTCCACGCCACGCCACTACCCCCGAAAGGAAGCTAGTTGGGACGCGCGCCAGGTTTGCATGGAGAGTGGGCGGAGGAGCCCGAGCGCCGCGCCGCCGCCGTGCGCGCCGCTCCACGCCACCGCAAAGTTGCGCTTGATTATCATGTGAAATTTTCAGCCGGGGGCCAACGTGGCGGCGGCGGCCAGGGCCAGAGAAGGGAGGGGGGTGGCGCGGGGCTGCGGCGCAGAGTGGAGCGCCACCGCACCGTGTGAGGCGCGCAGTCACCTCGCATTGTTCCGTCGTTTATCCAACTCGTTCGCGAGCCCAACTTGACTTGACCGTGAGCCTTGAACACCCGCGGGCGCTTGCGCGCCACCGCTGCCTTGCCCTGCCCGCGTACACGTACACGGAGCTCCCGAAAAGACTCTCCTCTTCAACGGGAGCGCTCTGCTCAAGCAAAGGGTTTTGAATTTTCATCCGCCCAAGAGCCGACTTCATTTACTCCATTTCGGCGTCCGTGGCGGGCGTCGAGCAATGTGCTGCTTTGCTTATCTGTGGTCAATCTGTAAGGTAATTTGGGACGAAATTCATTTTCCTCACCCCCATCTTCCCCTTTCTCGGAAGGCCGACCCTCCTCTTATCTCGATGCCCCCCCCCCCCCCCCTTCTCCTTCTCGCCTCGAGAAGCAAAGATGAGGACCGCCCGCCTCCTCTTCTGTGGCGTTTGGCGGCCCGAGCCTGTAATCCACTTTGAAATTCTAATTAATTGGATTATTTTGCATTTGGTCGTGGAGAGGAGAGGCGGTGGTGGTGGTGGTGGTGGGGGCCGGGGTATCCGATTGAAATGGGACGAGCGGCAACTTTCTGATTTCTCGCTCGAGGGATGATGGGCCCAAACGTGATCCCCACACCTTTTGAACGAAAACCCAGTTGGGCCCCGCCCGGCTTGCTGCTGCCGGCCCCTCAACAAAGTTCTGCGGTCGTCGGCGGCGGGAGAGCTCGACTCCTACTCCTGGGCGGTGGTGGCTTTTGACTCGCCACGCCCCGCCACGACCCACCACACCCCGCCACGCCCCATCGCTCCACTCGACCAGACGACCTCATTTCGTGCAGCTTATTTAGCCCGCAGTACGCTCGGGTATTTTATTTTCCGCGCTGGCCCTCAACTTTTGCAGCTCAACTGGTGCGCGGTGCCGCCGCCCCGGCGAGGCCATCTGCTCCGCGGCATCGCGACGGCCTTGGCCGGGGGCGGGCGCTCGAAGCGGACCGGCATTTAGGCGGCCTTACGGAGTGAGTGCTGTAGCCCGCGCTGCTGTAGACGCGCGCTAGAGGCCGGAGCGGATCGTCCCATTTGCGTAGAGCGGCCGGGTCGGCTTACATCGCTTACGACGCGACGCTCTGTTTGCCTCCGCGACGCGACTATGCCTTCTCGCTTCCGGAGAGGCGCGCGGGTCTCGGATTACTTGACCACGCCCAACGAGGCCGCGACGGCAGCTCTGTACGAGCGCCTTCCATCTCCCGACAGTCACTGGAAACGCAAAATGCGTAAGTGTCGCACACTTGTAGGTGTGTGAATGAATGCCCATTCGTAAACTTATGTAGCTAAAGGTATATGAATTTTCCTTTGAAATTCGTGCGCAACTTGTGCCGTGCCCCACCTTGGCCGTGCCCTTCATATGTGTACGAATGATGTTGACACACTTGGTTTTCCAGTGCAGCTTGTGTGCGAAAGTCGCGACAGCGGTGGGTAAACGGTTTTATTGCCTTGGCTTTTGCGTAAATATGTGTAATAAAACTCACACACTCCCTAGATAAAAAGAAACGTCCAGGCGCGTTAAAGCAGTCGCTACGCGACGTTTCCCCCGACGTGCAATAATGCCCCGTCTAGGGGCGTACTGGCTCGGCGGGCCCCGTCCCTGCACGGACGTCGCACGGAGCCGTAGTGTGTGCGCGAGACGTTATCATCCTGGAGGGGTTGCCGGCGCGGCCCGGCCGGGGCCAAGCGGACTGTGAAGCAGATAGCGGCCAGTGCGGCGGGGCCGAGGCGCAATGCGCGCGAGAGAGAAGCAAACGGCAAAGCGGCACTCCTAGTACCCTGCCTGATTCTCCCTCTCTCCCTCTGAAAAGGGCCGATGCAGTGCACACACAGTGCGGCGGCCGCGCTGCGTTGCACTTTTCTATGACTTTTTAAGTCGACAGGTGCGCGCCGCGCCCCGAGAGTTTGGGCCGGCCAAAGAAAAACAAGGCTAGTCGCGGCGCTGCGTCGGCGGAAATAGCGTGCTCTGTTTGTTCGGGGCACTCCACTTAGCAAAGTTTCGAGTTGGTTCGAGTAGAATCGCGCGCGCAGGAAACCGACCCGGCGCGGATGTGGCTGGGGCGAGGCGAAGGGGGCGGTGGGTCTGGGCCGCGCTCCCTGCTGCCTGCTACCGTCTCTGCGCGCGGTCCCCGGCCCGAACTTGTGTGCGCTTGTTTGCGTGTGACTTCATGTGTGCTTCTTGTGTTTGTTGCAGAGCCCGAGGCGTCGCCGGACGCGGCCCCGGAGGCGGCACCCGTCGCCGGCATGGGGTCCGGGCCGAGCCCCGAGCTGGCGCCCCCGGGCGAGATGCCACCGCCGCCGGCGCCGGGCTCGTCTGGGGGGCTCCGGTCGCCGCGCATCCTGGAGCACCCCGCCGACGTGGTGGTGCGCCGGAACGACCCGCTCACGCTCAACTGCAAGGCGGAGGGGCGGCCCGAGCCCAGCATCGAGTGGTGGAAAGACGGCGAGCGGTAAGAGAAAGAAACTGAGAATAAGAATTAAGGAATTAACGCTAAAACAAAGTATATTCGACCTCAATTTAAGTTTAAACTATTTATTTTTCATTAATTTAATTAATCGGAAAACTCTGTATTTTTAAAAAATTTATGCCCCTTACAATTCAAAACTTGCGTTTCCACGAAGTATTTGTTGAGCAGCATGCACTCAGTCGTTGTGGGGGGCATGCAGCAGCAGCAGAGGAGCGGGACCAGCGGGGCGCGCCTGTGGCCCGGCGGGTAGGCAGTCCCGCCGCGCGGCCGTGCGTCCCCGCGGCCTACTCGCCCGGCTGACGGCTGCCCCGGGCTCCGCTCCGCGCTGCTCGCCAGTTCCGTCTGGCCCGCTCCTCCTGCTTCTGCTGCTGCTACTGCTGCATTGCTGCTGCTGGTCTACTCGCGGTCTGCCACTAAACGGACCCTCCGTTTTGTTTTCTCTCTTTCGCAGGGTGTCCAACGCGCCGCACCGGGTGCTGCTGCCGTCCGGGTCGCTGTTCTTCCTCCGGGTGGCGAGCGGCAAGAAGGAGCCCGACTCGGGCGTGTACTGGTGCGCGGCCAAGAACGAGGCCGGCCAGGCCACCAGCCGCAACGCCACGCTTCTCGTAGCAGGTCAGTGTCGAAGCACCAAAAGGGATTGGGGGGGATTTTTATTTTGTTCTTCTTTTGTTTCTTTGTTTTAATATTTGGCCTCCGTCGCCGCCTTCTTTAAGCCCTTGTGGCGGCGGCGGCCTAGCCGCAAGAAAAGTAATACCGGCAATTTAAAAAGTTTGACGTTGCCGGGTGGGGCGGGGCGAGAGTTTAATCACCCTGCTCTCGCTCTCGCGTCCTCCTCTCGTAATCAGATAATGATTTTCTCGCCGCCACTAATCCCAGCGGCGGCCGGCCCGCGACGCACGACGGAGAATTGTTATCATCCTCTCTCTCTCTCTCTCTCTCTCTCTCTCGCGCGCTCTTTCTCTCTGCTCTCTTGCGATCTGGGGCTCGGCTCGGCGGCCCGCACGTGACGTCGCGGGTTGCGTTATTTGCAGCCGGCGGCGCCTCGCGGTCGTAAATAAAGAAGTTTTGGCGCGGTTTGGGGCCCCGGGGGGCCGAGCAGTGCAGCCACCCCCGGCGGGCCGGGCTGTGCGGGCCCGACCCCGACGCCCCAGCCCAACGGGCCCCGCGGCGCAGGGCAGGAAGCAGCCAGTGTTGCCAACTCGAGATAGACAAATTACCGCGTCTCTCCCGCTCTTTCTCTCGCTCTCTCGCTCGCTCGCTCTCCATTTCTGGCCGTTAAAACGCGCTCGGGACCTGTTGTCGTCGCGTTGGCTGCCCTGATTTGGTGAGGGTCATTTCTCACACGTTCCACGCTCTCCCGAGAGACGGTAGTATATTTGCTTGGCAAAACAAAAAATTAATTTTATCATTGCAATGTCGTTTAGAACAGTTATTTTATTTTATTTTCTGGGATAACGTTATTTGTGGTATGTCAAAGAATAACTACCCGGACCTGACCCTGACATCCACTTTTGAGTCAGGCGTCTGCTTAGCGAGACTCTGCTGAATTTCAACCGCGCTGCGAAAAATACAGGAACTCTCGGATGTCGTGGTAGAGGAGAGGAAGGAAGAGGGAGGAGGGAGGAGTGCCATATGTGCCTCAAGTTGTGAGTTATTCAGTTGAGCCCAAGGTAGGCAGGGTTGGGTTGGACCACCGCGCCACCGTGCCTGTAACTGAGTCGGGCTGGCTCAAGGCTGGCTGCTGACTTACCTAAATTTTAGCATCCTCTCCAACCACACGCAGGCTGCTGCTGCTGTATTGTATGGCAACAGCGCGCCTCTGTCCTGCCCGCTCTGCTAAACAATGCACAGACTGGAAAATGTTTGCCTTGTTTTGTACTTCTCCTCCTTTTTGAAGTAGTACTGGGGTTGGTTTTGTTGTCCGCTGTTACAGGAGTACCAACTGGCGTTGAGCTATAAAAACGCCTCGCGAATAGACTTGTCTTGGCGTCGGGCACACGCACCGGCTGCATTCCGCAGTGGGTAGGTAGTTTGGCTTGTAGCTGCGGTGTCGCGGTATCGTGACGCGGAAGGAGTTGTCCGGAAAGGCAAAGGGAAATGAAATGCGGGTAAGAAACCCGCAGCTGCCCGCCTTTTTATCGATAAAGTTTGTCAGGGCAATGTGTAATAGTCTTTCATAAAACTGTTGTCTTGTTCTCGCGTTTTTCGAGCGCATAAGCAGGGAGAGAGTTATTTCTGCGCCCCCGCGTGCGCCGCTGCGTTGTGTGAGTTTTGTGTGTCTGGCGGTGAAGGGAGGCACGGCGTGCTCGGAGAGGGGGCGGCGGGGGTCGCACACGCGTGCTGCTGCTATGGGCTGTGTTTTATTTGTGAGCGTGAGCAAATACCATTCACAATGGCTTTCCCATGTAAATTTGTGTTAAATATGTGCATTTCCCCTTCCTCGCTCTCGTTTCGTCAGTCCGCATGGGCCTGGTCGTGATACGCCCCGTCGCCCCACGCACGCCTCCGCTCGGCAGTGTGGTAGTATATGCCCGCCTAAATGATTATACACCCAGGCATAGAGATGCAGCAGCGTTGCGTGAAAGAGCCGCTATGGTGAGTGAGGTTGCAAGGACGTGGTGACTGAATAAGTCCCGCACCGGCGCATCTTTGATATTGTTTATTTATCTATATCCTTTTGTTTCCTTTTTCCCTGTCGAAAATGTTTGTCATCTCCTCTGCATCTCCGCACGCGGCCGCGACGTGCGATGACGGCTGTCAGTCGCCGCAGACAAATCGCAACGCCGCGGCGTTGGGAAATACGTGTGTTTTATTTATGCCGATGCCTCGCGCGGCGCGAAATGTTTTTCCGGCGCTGCCACGGCTGCCCCCCCCC